TCGTTATCTCTAGCCTGACTCACTCTTGTTTGCATATTTATACCTGCTTCTGGAAATTTCCACTACATGCATTCAAAGAAGTGGGTATTCACCCACGAAAGCTCATGCTCCTATACGTTTGTTAGTCTATAAGGTGCCACAGGACTCTGCTGCTTTTACAGATCCAGACTAACACGGCTACCCTTTTGATACTTGACACCATGCAAGGCATTTAGCCGTATGAAGTAAACTTTCCTAGTAATTTGCTATTTTGACCTGAGTATACCTTTGCAAATTTTAAGGGGTAATATTAAGATTGGGTGGTCTCTATAACTAGTGATGTGTTAGTCAGAGAGGAAGGATTATATGGCAATGGAAAACTGGCTGGAACCCCTACTTTTTAGAAAAGCATGTGTAGAATTTCTACCAAAAAAAGTGTAAGTGTGTTTCTGAGTATTATCTGGACCTCACTGAAACACTTCAGACTGTAACTCTTTCTTGACAAAGTTTTTATTGGAGAATTTCACTCCTTTTTTAAAAAAAAAGTAAGTCCCAAAAGTTTAAATGATGTTGGCATATGAGATCTGCATAAAGGGATCTGCTTTGACAGATCTTAAATGGACTGCTAAAGAAGACCTACTCTCCTGCAGGCCCATCGGGACAACTAAAGCCTCTAAGCACTATTACAAACAATAATAAATAATAATGGTGCTAGTTTTGAGCTAAGAGGATTCAAGAGAGGAGCAAAAATAGGACTTTAAAATGAACAATGCCTACAACCTCTCCACAGTAAAAAGTAATAATGAAGTACATCAGAAAAATCCTATTCTCTTTGATACTATAAACTCTTTGAAGATTTCTTTTCAAGTCAAATATGTTTGCAGATAAATAAAAACAAAGATACTACAAAGGACCAGAATTAAAGTGAATCTCAAAATATAGATCCATAGGGCAGATGTAATTAATTAACTAAAATATAATACATGATCAGAGTAACTGCAAAATTGAGAATGGTACAAACATTTTATTACGCATGGCATTAAAAAGTCCATCCTTAAAATGACAATTAGTCTCAATTAGGTACCTGTTAAGTTCTCCCCATTCTGCTCATCTCTCAGGCTCTGCTGACTGAGGTCTGTTACTATGCAACCTGCTTGCTTCTTCCCTTCATCATCTCCTGACTCTTCTGACTCTACCCGCCTGTCAACTGAGCAAGATACATAACAGCAGGGTTAGGCTACTTTCAGAAAACAGCAGCAGTAAGCAGGTACAATAACCAAGAGTCATATAAACCACTATGAGGTTAGTAGAGAGCCTAAATTTACTAAATTAAAGGTTTAGTCTTAAATAAAAGTCCTCTTACCCCTTGTTTTTACTTTGATTTTTGAAGCACTTTTTCCTCCCTTCACATCTTCCTAAACCAACAATCTGGGAAGAAGACTGGAGGAAAAAGGAAATTTCTTAGATCAATGGAGTGCAAATCCAAAGATTAAGGTGATGGAATTAGAACTGTGACATTTAAAGATCATTTACAATGATAGTGGTAAAGGTTTCAAAAATGCCTGCAGACCAACCATTCCCTGTTGCAACCGACAAGGCCACCTCATCGCTCCAGCAACAACTCATGAGATCAGTTCATAATTTCATTACATGCCTTCTTCAATTCAGTGTAGAGCAAAGGCCTCTTGAGCACTGAGATTCATCTTGCTCAAAGGTTTGGACAGAACTTTATGTGACTGTGAATGACCTTAAATATGACATTATCCCATGCGGGGGGGGGGGGGGGGAGCAAGGGAAAGATGATTCAATCATGGTTACAAATAAGCTGTATTTCTATAGCACCTTTCATTTGATGATCAAAAGACACTGTACAGTGATTAATTAGCCTCACAACACTCCCCATTTTACTAATAGCTTAGGTGATTCACAAAAAGGTCAAGCAACTTCACCAAGAACACCCAGATCCAGAGGTAGAATAGGACCCAGTCCCCTTGCAAATCCCATATTTTAACCACTACACTATGCTCATCTCCAGTCCGCAAGTGCAGGATCCCCAAATCCTTAACAAGTTTAGCCCTAACTACTCCCAATAGGAAACTAACACAAAGTACTTCTTCAAACCCCATCGCTCAAACCTGCTTCGGAATCGCTGTCCCCTTCGGCACCCCAGCCATTCCCCTCTTGCCAGTCCAAAGCTCGGCCTGGCCCCACCTGCCCCCCGCTGCCAGCACCCCGGCAACAAGCCCTCCGCGCACCATCACCCCCGGCAGACCCTGCCCCTCCAGCCAGCCGTCCCCGCAGGCCCAACCCTGCTACCCCCCTCCCTGCCCAGCCCGGGTCACTCCGCTTCGGGCCCCGGGACTCAAGCCCGACCGCACCCGGCAGGGAAGCTGGCCTGATGTCCCGAGCATCGCTCCAGACCCCGGCTCCCCCCGCCATTCCCAGCCTGGGCTGTCACCTCAGGCACGGTCACGCCGCTGCCCAAGGCCGGCCCGAGCCCCCCGCCATCAGCTGCCTCCTTCCCGCCCGGCCCCGCTCGCCCCACGGGCTCCCCCCCCCCATCGGTCTCCGGGCCTCGCCTCCCTTCGCCGGCTGCCCCGGGGGCCCAGCCCCGTCTCGCCCCCGGCTGCTGCGAGCAAGAGAACGGGCAAGACCTGGGGCTGGGGCTCGCCACCCCCAGACACGGCCGGGCTCTCACCCTCCATCATCTCCTGCAGCGGCCCTTCTCCTCTCTCCGCCGCCATGTCGCTTTTCCTGCCTCCCACCCACTCCCCGTCGCAGCAACGGGCACAACCAATCAGCGGTCTGAGTGGGGCAAGGATTTCCGCCAATCAGCTCAGCTGCTGTTTTGCAGAGGCCGCGTAGGACCCCAGGCGCATGCGTGTAGTATCCGCAGCCTCATGGCAGATGTAGTTCTCCGCTGGCTAGATTAGGGAGGCCCTGACAAGCGAGCTGAGAGGTGGGGATGCTGCCCACCCACGCTGCTTCATTGGGGGCAGCAGCAGCCTCAGCGCTAGCACTGCTGCAGGGTTCCGGCGCCTGCTTCTTCTGCCATTTGGCATATTAAAAAGAGATCAAAAGAATTTGACAAGAAAAATGTTGAGGCTAAATGGTGCATCAATTTACATCTTGTGCAACTCTACTTTTCACGTTGATCAGTGGTGCTTTGCCTGAGGGCAAATTGTTTGCTTTTCTCTTTTTCTTTGACCTAGTGGGCTAATTGATCTCTATTTCTGATTTTAATGTCTTGTTTTATTTTACTCTATGGTGCATATCTGATGGTTTTTAGGCAACAGGTAAATGTATTTAAATCTTGACGCTGCTTTACTACACATCTATAAGATCCAGCATTTCCTCTGCACCTACGTGGCTCTTATTTGTCATCAGAGGGATTAGGAGCCATAGTCATGGACCAGTGCCCCGTTGTACTGGGCTCTGTACAAACAGAACAAAAGACAGTCCCTGCCCCGAAGAACTTACATGGGTAAACGTCATCATCTTGAATTTCAACTACAGCAACCTTCTCTCTGGCTTTAATAGATGCTATATTGTCCCACTTACATCCATTCACAATGCTGCTGCAAAGATCATTTTCACACATGCCATCTTACACCCCCCCACCCCCTTGCATCCCTCCACTGGCTCCCATTTCTCCGTCATGTTAAACATACACTACTTGTCTTCATTTTTAAGGCCCTTCGTAGCCTATCTCCACCCTACCTATCATCTCTTACATGCTATTGGAATGTCAACCCTTGCCTCTCCTCTGCCAATGATGCCAAATTTCATTGCCCATTTGTCACAATCTTGCCACACCTCGGTTTCCTCATTTAAAATGGAGATTTTAATATTTACTCAGTATACTGGAGTGATATGAGACTGACTTGGAAGGAAGTCATTACAGAAGTGTGAAGATTTGCTTATTGTGAAAATCTCCTTATACTGGCTGATTTTCTATCTACATACACCTCTACCCCAATATAACGCGACCCGATATAACACGAATTCGGATATAACGCGGTAAAGCAGTGCTCCGGGGGGATGGGGCTACGCACTCCTGCGGATCAAAGCAAGTTCGATATAACACGATTTCACCTATAACACGGTAAGATTTTTTGGCTCCCGAGGACAGCGTTATATCGGGGTAGAGGTGTAATTTGATATCACCCAAATTTTAATAATTCCACAAGTGCACTTCTACATGTATGCTACTGTGGTAACAGCATGTGCAAATTACGCAAATCTGAATTTATTCTATGTAGAGAGGGGGGATGGAGACCAAACACAATGTGAAACAGATTGTTAAACACAAGGGTAGGATACATATAGGATACTGCTTAGAACTAAGTGGGTAATTAATACCTCTGCAGTTCTAGGGCAATTGAGAAATAATGGGCAGCAGGGTGTGTTACAAATTGTTGTAATGAGCCTTAAAATCATTGTCTCTGTTAAGTCCGTGATTTTTAATGTCTAGCAGTTATGAATTCAAGTTCCCAGGCTCAACTTTCTTTTGAGGACAAGGACTGAGAAGTCAGCTATGGAGTGATCACTTTGTGAAAAGTGTTCGCCCACGAGTGATAGAGTGATTTTGTCTTTTATAAGTTTTATGTGTGAGTCTGAGAGCCTAATGATTGTCTGACTTCATCCTCATAGTTGTTGTGGGGACAGTTGATGCACTGGATGAGGTATACCACATGTTGTGATAGGCAGGTGTAGGACCCAATACTGTTAACAACAGTGAAAGATAGCTAATATGACACATTCATAAAAGCCTAAACTCTGCTGAAGACGCAATAGCCCTGAGGGTTCTGCTGAGTGCCTGCTCCTCCATTGAGGTCACTACCGTAACATGAGGCTCAATAGCTAGGAAGATTGTAATAGTCAGGTTGAAAAACGGATGCTGAAACCTCTGAGTTCCGCCACCTTAAAGAGTGGATGGGCATGGAGAGGAGAGTGTAAATGCAGCCTGGAGATCCATCCCTGTGATAGATAATTCCAACAGGAATTCCCAGAGGGCTGGGGAGGAGCTCTGCCCCCCCCCGAGTGTGACACTGGGATGGGGTAGCTCTGTCCCCCTGAGTGTGACACCGGGATGAGGTAGCTGCCCCCCCTGAGTGTGACACTGGGATGAGGTAGCTCTGCCCCCCACCCTGAGTGTGACACTGGGATGAGGTAGCTGTCCCCCCTGAGTGTGACACTGGGATGGGGTAGCTCTGCCCCCCACCAAGTGTGACACTGGGATGAGTTAGCTTCCCCCCCTGAGTGTGATACTGGGATGGAGTACCTCTGCCCCCCTGAGTGTGACATAGGGATGGGGTAGTTGCCCCCCACCCTGAGTGTGACACTGGGATGGGGTAGCTCTGTCTCCCCACCCCGAGTGTGACATTGGGATGGGGTAGCTCTGCCCCCCCCTGAGTGTGACACTGGGATGGGGTAGCTCTGCCCCCCTCCCCCGAGTGT